TCATAATCTCGCAATTTCGTTAGTCCGATAGGGTAAAACTTTTTCGAGAAAGAACCAATATTCGTTTTTGCTGCTTCATAATTTCTTTCTCTTCAACTTGTTAATTGGAAATTTTCACTGTGCAGACATGACTTAAAGAATGAGCCTCTTAGATTAGAGTTTATGGTTGTTTGAAAAGCTACAATACAGTGCAAGCTTGAGTTTGGGAAAGTCACATTGCGACCAGATAAGCAGTGGAATAGATAGAAGGGGTTACTGTCAAAATTCCTCGTGAAAACTAGGACTATTCATGAAAACTCGTAGTTCCAGGAGTTCTGCTCCTGACGCTAATCTTAAGAATCACTCAGTAGAGAGTACTAGGAAACTGGGAATTCGCCGTTAATCGCAAATTGGGTAATCAGTGTCGCTGATGTTTCATAGTTCTACCCGAAAACGTCATCATCCACCATCCTTGCGCAAGGTTTCATTTTTCGCAGGAAAGAAAAATAATAGCGAAGTTTAGGAAAATTGTGCCAAACGCTTTTGATGCTTTTGGCACCTCATCAAACTTGGATACTATACAATTGAAATCCTCAACATTACTCAATCGCTGCCTTCCAGAATACCCCAAAGTAAACATCATTGAGACGTTGTATTGATAATGAAAGTTATTAATATATACGGCTGGAGTGTGGTTGATTGATGTTAATTATGAAAAGGATATGACTAATGACTAGAATAAGAAGTACTTCAGAGTACGTAAAAAGAGACAATTCAGCTGAATTTCATGGCCAGACCTCCAATGCAAATTTAGCTTTGGTCGAGAAGCGATTGAATAAGAATTTACAAGATTCTGGACAAATCTATGTATTGTAGGTCAAATTTTCTTCAACTCGATCGTATCGATCAGAAATTAGTTGCTTGCTGAGCGTCGAGCTGGTCCAACACGTTTTAACCACAAATTTATTGTATACTTTTAGTTCTTTTAGTACTCTGCCTTTAGCCTTCTTAGTTGTCTGAGGTGATACTGCAAAAATTCCTTTCAGCAACTCAAATGAAGCTTTTCCTTTTCTTTTTCGTTTTTTTCTTCACTATCTGCCATTCGCTACCACCGCACAAAGCATATCAATCGGATTTAGAACGAGAATGGATTCGAAGGGCTCGTTCTACTGTAAGTTGAACACGTATTTATTAATGTCTTGAAGTACTATGTTTGACACACCTCGTGTCAAGCACTCATTGTAAGTTAAGTTGCTTCAAATTGAGCCATACTTCAAAATAGTTTGAAAATTTTTCTTTATAACAAATAAAATGTTATATATATATACTTATTTACTTAATTTTCATTTATTTATTTGTTGGAACTTGGAGCATAAATTACAACTTCAAACAGATCAGTACTTGATTGACAGTACTACTGCGAAGCCATTTGAAGTTAGTGAATATCTGGCATTATTTTCCATCTAATTTCAACACGGGGTAAAATCACGACTGTCTATGATTTTTTCTCATTTTATTGTAAACCGTTCAATTATTTTAATT